TCTCTACCTCCATCTCTACTTCCTTCTCTGTGTCCGTCTCTACCTCCTTCTCTACTTCCGTCTCTGTGTCCGTCTCTACCTCCTTCTCTACTTCCATCTCTGTGTCCGTCTCTACGTCTTTCTCTACTTCCTTCGCTGTGTGCGTCTCTACCTCCATCTCTACTTACATCTCTGTGTCCGTCTCTACCTCCATCTCTACTTCCTTCTCTGTGTCCATCTCTACCTCCTCCTCTACTTCCGTCTCTGTGTCCTTCTCTACCTCCTTCTCTACTTCCGTCTCTACCTCCTTCTCTACTTCCTTTTCTGTGTCCGTCTCTACCTCCTTCTCTACTTCCTTCTCAGTGTCCGTCTCTACCTCCATCTCTACTTCCGTCTCTGTGTCCGTCTCTACCTCCGTCTCTACTTCCTTCTCTGTGTCCATCTGTACCTCCTTCTCTACTTCCTTTTCTGTGTCCGTCTCTACCTCCTTCTCTACTTCCTTCTCAGTGTCTGTCTCTACCTCCTTCTCTACTTCCGTCTCTGTGTCCGTCTCTACCTCCATCTCTACTTCCTTCTCTGTGTCCGTCTCTACCTTCATCTCTACTTCCGTCTCTGTGTCCGTCTCTACCTCCTTCTCTACTTCCGTCTCTGTGTCCGTCTCTACCTCCTTCTCTACTTCCGTCCATCTCTACCTCCATCTCTACTTCCTTCTCTGTGTCCGTCTCTACCTCCTTCTCTACTTCCGTCTCTGTGTCCGTCTCTACCTCCTTCTCTACTTCCCTCTCTGTGTCCGTCTCTTCCTCCTTCTCTACTTCCCTCTCTGTGTCCGTCTCTACCTCCTTCTCTACTTCCTTCTCTGTGTCCGTCTCTACCTCCATCTCTACTTCCTTCTCTGTGTCCGTCTCTACCTCCATCTCTACCTCCTTCTCTACTTCCGTCTCTACCTCCATCTCTACTTCCTTCTCTGTGTCTGCCTCTACTTCCTTCTCTGTGTCCGTCTCTACCTCCTTCTCTACTTCCGTCTCTGTGTCCGTCTCTACCTCCATCTCTACTTCCTTCTCTGTGTCCGTCTCTACCTCCATCTCTACTTCCTTCTCTGTGTCCGTGTCTACCTCCTTCTCTACTTCCGTCTCTGTGTCCGTCTCTACCTCCTCTACTTCCACTCTGTGTCTGTCTCTTCCTCCATCTCTACTTCCTTCTCTGTGTCCGTCTCTACCTCCATCTCTACTTCCTTCTCTGTGTCCATCTCTACCTCCTTCTCTACTTCCGTCTCTGTGTCCGACTCTACCTCTGTATCAACCTCATGCTTAACTTTCTCTCTGTCTCCAAGTTTGTATCTATATCGGTTAAATTTTCACTGATGAAATAATTTCAAACTTACCAAAAACTTGTAAGAAATGTGTAAATGGCTCCCATGTATTCCTTCCCCACATTCATTCAGAGATATCCTGCTTATCTATCCATCATAGTGCTCCCCAATGTGCTTATAACCTGGTAGGATTCTCTCTAAGCTTTTTGAGGGTCCCAGTTAGACATATCGTGCCTGCCCCCGATTCCTTCACTGTGTGTTTTGTCCCAACAGGGTAATTATAGCCATAGTATAATTCTCAAAATCAGGACATTTAACATTAATGCAACACTGCAGCTAATCCAGACCTCATCCAAATGTTCCCAGTTGTTCAATTAACACCCTGTTTCTGGTGCAGGGTTCCGTCCAGGATCGGGTCCTGCCTTCCCTGTTACGTCTCATCATTGTCCTGTATTCCCAACAGTTCCTCAGCCCCTAATCCTCTTGATCGGCTGGATCATTTCGTGGATTACAGGTCGGGGATTTTGGAGAGTGTCCTCCTGCTTGCTTTGCGTCGTGATTGGCTGATAAGTATTTTTTACGCTAAATGAAGGAATGGAGGGATGGAGACATGGATGGGAGGGAAAGACAGTGGCCGTGGGTCCAGAGAGCTGTTTGGAGACTGTAGTTTGCATTTGCTTTCAGGACCCTCAGGAATCCTGATTATTCACTCCAGGAGGATTGAATGGGCTCCTGCTGGGTACTGTTTTCCAGGAGCACCCACCACATCCCAGGCACTGCCCAGGCTCTGGGGATTCATGGGAGCAAAGTAGACAAAATTCCCTGCTTCCGGGGAGCTGTGCCATGAGTGGTCTGCCCAGGTCTCTGGTGGGTCACGTCTCTCTTCGAGAGTAGGGGACAGACAGTTGGGTTTGGGGGTGTTCACGTAGGGGGCAACCCGACCCCTGGACACCCTGAGAGACCTACTTCACTCAGACCTGCCCTGCTCAGTGTCCCACCCAGCTCATAACAGCTGTGTGACCACAGTGCCTGCCCTCTCTGAACCGGGACCATCTGTGCAGCATGGAGTAACTATCCCCACCATACCCTGTTGGGAGGACGCAGTGACGTGGAGTGTAAGAAGTAGAGGCCAGCACCTGGCATGTGGCCAGCGCCCATGCCGTTCGAGGCTCCTCCTCACGACTCCACAGGCTGCAGGTTTAAGACACCCCTCAGGTGGGACTCGTGGACTCTCCCCTCCACCTTCTCAGCTCTGCTACCTTGGGGGTGTCTCTCACCTCCCTGCTCTCACGGTCAGTGACTGTTCTGAAGGAAGGTGAATGCCAGGGAGGGGACCAGGTCCACAGTGTCCTCCCAGGTGCTCATCCGGGCCCGGCCGCTCTGAGGAGGGGGAGGTCACTCCCATTTGCACAGAGAACACCTCTGCCTGAGGCGAACCGGGTCCCAGGCTGCCCCCCGTGGGGCGGGGCCTCTCTGACCCTGCACCCCGTGATGCCTTCTGCGGCCCACTTTAAACGCAGGGACTGGGGCACCCTGGGCAGGGCGGTCAGCTGCGAGCCACGGGGCCATGCAGACGGTAGGTGAAGGGGCAGGTGGGGTCCGAAGCGACCCCATTCCACGCCAGCTGAGTGCAGGGCTGACTTGCCAGAGCTCCATTTCACACCACCAGCCACAAAGGCGGATGAAACCAAATCTGTCTTGTGGGCTGGGGCGGAGCACAACCCTGATCCAAACAAGGTGTGTGAAGTGCCCAGTGGGCCTGGTCCGGGAGCTTCAAGCCACACGGCCCCGGCCACTGAGGTTTCCGGCCCGGGCGTCCCCCCTGCCCCCCGGAAGTCCCCTGCAAGCGGCCGTACCTGGTGTTTCTGCCTGTCCGAGGCGATGCCGTCCCACCACAGACGGAAGTACTCCTGCTCCACGGCGATGAAGCGGCGATGCTTCTGGAGCATCAGCTCCTCCACCACGGAGGTGTAGACGTTGGCAGCGTAGGCCCGCAGGCTTTCCTGGGGAGGGGGGACCCCGTCACACCAGCCCCTGTGGAGGCCCCGCAGGTTTGGCCCCCCGGATCCAGGACTATATTCCTGGTGACACAGGGTCCCTCGGCACCCCCACTCCCTGCAGGCATCTGCCCAGGGCCCTTCCTCTGCTTCCCAACCCCAGCAGCTCTGACGGAGGTCTCCAGGGCCCCACTCTGTGCCAGACACGCAGTGCAGACTGGTCCTGAGTCAGTGATGTGCTCACCCGCCTCTGATGAGCTCCTTCTGTTCTAGGAAGAGAGGGGACCCTCCAGACCGTGACACACGACGTGCCCAGGGGTCAGGGACGGCTTCCCTGAGGGGGCACCGTAGCTGGCCCTGAGGGGGTAGTAGGGATACAGCCCAGTAAAGGCACGGGCTGTCAGTGGAGGACGTGCAGGGACCCCACGGGGCCTGCTGGGGCTGAGATGCCCAGAGCCGGTGTTGAGCCCTGAGGCTGAGATCGGGACAAGCCTGGCTGCTTCCCCGGTGTGTCTCCAGGTTGGCAAAGGGTGGTGTCCCCAGGGGCTCCTTTAATGAAATGCAAAGTTCCCTGGGCAGGGAGGCCTCAGGAAGGGGGGGGTCGTTCCTGGGTGCCCTCATGCAAGTCACCAACCCTCTCTGGGTCTGTTTCCTCTTTTGTACCTGAGGGGGCAAGCACGTTTGCCCCCCTTCAGCCAGCTCCTCAGGCAGCTGAGTGTCCCCCCAGAGGCTGCCCAGTGCCTCCCAGGACCGGACTCCACCCGCTCCCCCGTGCCGCCCCCAGCGCCTGATCCTCCTGCTTCCTCGGGCTCCCGTTGAAGTCCAGCTGACCACTCAGTAACGTCCTCAGAAGCGTCACTGTCCCTAATCCCAGACACCGTTCTCTTCCGGGTTTCCTTCCTCTTCCCACAGGAGAGCTGGAGGGGGCCTGGGTGACAATATCCCGTCACTGACCCAGGATTCCGAGCCGGTGTGAGGCTGTTCCTGCTCCTATTCCTGCATTCGGTCCTTCTTGCATTCATTCATTCCTGTACTTATTCATCCCTGTATTCACTCATTCCTGCATTCATTCATTCATTCGTTCCTTCATTCGTGCAGTCATTCCTTCATTCATTCCTGCATTCATTTGTTCATTCTTGCATTCATTCATTCCTATACTTATTCATCCCTGTATTCATTCATTCCTGCAGTCATTCATGCATTATTTCCTGCATTCATTCATTCCTGCTTTCATTCATTCCTGCATTCATTCCTACATCATTCATTTATTCATTCCTCTTTTCATTCATTCATTCAGCAATACCTGTTGCACCTCTTCTGTCTGTCAGGGCAGAGATAACACGCCAGGAAATAAAATGGATGAAGCCCCTGGCCTGTGAAGCTAGCCTTCTGGTGAGGACAAGGGACAGTCAACCAGCCTACCTAATGTGCATGGAAGGGCAGAGGGGGAAGGCAATGGGGGTGTAGATGGATATGCCAGGAACGCACCACCAATAGTGCCTCTTGTGGAGCCACCCACAGGATGGGGGAAACTGAGTCCTGCCGGCTTGTGGGAGGAAGGCCTCTGGGCATAAGGAACAGCCTGTAGAAAGGGTTGGAGGCCTGTGCCATCCTACAGAAGGGGGACCTGGGGCTCAGAAAGGGAACAAAGTCCACCCAGGGTGCCCCAGTCACAGACTGCGACCATGGCCTGTGTCAGGCGCATGCCTCTTTATTGACTTTCCCTAGCACAGATGGGGAAACTGAGGCCATAAAAAGGAGGCAACCAGCCCAAGTCAGCCTCCCCGATCTCTGGCAGACTCAGGTCGTAACCCAGCTGCTCCCCTGAAGATGTCAGCAGACCCCAGGCTTCAAACCCACCCTGGGATCTGGTAGGGAGAAGGAAGCTGAGCTCCAGGGGGTCTGGGGGGTAGCGACCGGGCGCCTACCTGTACCGTGTAGATCCAGCCCACGTCCATGTGACTGTGGGGCACCACGAAGACCCTGATGGGGATCACGGACCCGGCCACCAGGAACCACAGCAGCATCAGCTGTGTGAGCACAGGAAACCAGCCAAGAAGCCACATCCTGGTGGCAGGCCGCCAGGGGCTGCTACTGGCAGTCACTTGCCATCTGCTGACAACCAGTCCCCTAGCAGAGAACAGGGCTCCCGACGCTCGGGGCAGGTGGGGCAGGAACAGGAGGAGCGGCTCCTGCAGCCGTGCTGTCACCTGAGCCAGGTGAGGGGTGGCCCTTGGGCATCACCATTCGGCGCTCCGCCTCCATCTCGGGTCCCGGGCATTGCTGTCCACTTCTTAGCAGAATCCCAAACTCCATCTGCCCCAGGGCGGTTGTCACAGTGTGCCCTCTCCTGGAGCCCTGTCTGGAGGAAGCCAGCAGTCACGTCGTGGGTCACCGCAGCCTTCTGTGCAGGTGAGACGCAGGGAGGGGCCCTGGCGACCTGCCCACTGCCAGCACTGGCTCGGGCGCCTCGTGAGCCAGCCACCTGCAAGCCACTCCTCCGGCCCAGCCCAGGATCCGGGAATCCCAGGTGAATGCTGGCTGCAACCTCAGGAAGGCCCGGGAGCCAGAAACACCCAGCTCATCACTCCTGAATCCCTCACCCCAGAAACCCGGGTGCTAACGGGTGCTCGGGGCTGCTTTAAGTCCCAGTCCTCAAAATAGCCCAAATCCTCTCTCCCCAGCGTCCAGTCAGTAACCAGGAACCACCTTGGGGGTAGGGATGGAGGATTCCTTCCCATAGGCTCCTGCCGGGCCTTCCTTCCTCCCAGGGTCCTCCAGGGAAGAGGGACAGAGGCCTGTCCGCACAATTAACATCACATGCTCTTCAACAAGAGAGAGCTCCTCCTTATTCCAGGGTCTGGGTCCTGCATTGGACCTACTGAGCTTCCCGCAGGTCGAGCTGGTGTGAGGACCAGGTGAACCACACACACGGACATAGACGTACAAAGAGACTGAATGCTATGGAGGAGGTGTGGAAGACCATGGAGGGTTCTTTGAGATGATTTTCAGGCAGACGGAAAGTGGAGGGAGCTTTTTCTCAGCTGAGGGAACAGCACGTACGAAGGGCCTGAGGCACGGAAGGGCTTGAATTTCAGGGAGGATCTGGCCATGCAGCACGGGTGGAGGGAGGAAGCAGGCTCACTGCAGCTGGAAGAGCCATGGCAGCCAAGACACAGCAGAGGACATGAGTCGTGACAACGGGGAGCTGTGGGGGCTACCAGCAGCTGCTAGAAGGAATGTAGTCGAAGGGAGTGGGAGCTGAGGCCAGAAAGGCGGGGTGGAGCCACTTCCGAAAGGGTCTAGGACTCAGGCAGAGGATCAGGGTCTGGAGGGAAGACACTGGGAGCTCTGGAAGGTTGGAGGCAGGAGGAATCCAGGGTTGAGGCTGTCGGCCAGGGAGGTCATTGGCACTGGGGGCAGCCCCCAGGCACGTTGACCATCAAACAGCCTAAGCCTCCAGGCCTGTCCCAGCTGCTCCAGAGGACACACAACACTGAGCTCACAAGGATTCACTGGGACACGGTGCAGGGGTGCCCATCCGCAACCTCCTCCAGGCCCACAAAGAACGTTCAGGATGTTCCTTTTTCTAGATCGCCCGGAACAAATCCCGGCACCGTCATGTGCAGCGGTGGCCGGATCAGGAGTCACAGGCCGGAGAACCCATGTGTGACGCTGGGAACACGTTCCCTTTGCCACCAGGGAGCTGCCGGCACCCTGCGTTCTTTTTCCGGAGCTTTGACTCTGATGTGCGGCGTCTGAGGGGCATCTCACTGGAGCGGGGAAAACACGTCCCCCGCCGGCTTGTTCCTGACAACAGTGTGCTGCTAGTGACAGACGTCACAGGATCCAGAAACCGAAACAGCCTCCTGAGGCCGGGCCCACCCGAGCCTGTTCCAGAAAGTTC